GAAGAAGAAGAAGAAGAAGAAGAAGAAGAGGAGGAGGAGGAGGAGGAGGAGAAGAAGGAAGAACAAGAAGAAGAAGAAGAGGAGGAGGAGGAGGAGAAGAAGAAGAAGGAAGAAGAAGAACAAGAAGAAGAAGAACAAGAAGTAGAAGAAGAAGAAGAACCGAAGAAGGAAGTCACAAGAAGAACAATCCTGCTTGAGCAGGGGGCTGGACTAGAAGACCTCCAAGGCCCCTTCCAGCTCTATCCAGCTCTTTACCATAACGTTCTGTATGCAGACCTACTTCCCCTAAGAAGCCACAGAGCTACTATTAACTTAAGCAACCGTTAAAACTTATAATTTACAGGGTTTCTGGACAGCAGTGAAGATACAGCATGGAGACGCTGCAGGAATGAAAAAAAATATTTAAAAAAAAATAGAAACAAAATCCAGTTTTGGTTTAGTCGATCTTAGGACTTGGTTAATGTGATTGACTTGAAAATCAAATTCATTTAAGAATTGAGTGAACGCAGGTCTTCCACTCAATTTATGCAGAGAGTTCCAGAGAGTTGGGCCCTGGGGCTCTTTTAAGTTCTCACAGCGGATCGCTCGTAAGCCTTGAATAAGTCACTACCCTGAGCCTACATCTTCACCCAGTAGTAAATCAAGTTTCTTTTGAGAGACAGGAAATACAGCATTCCAAACTTCGGGTGTTTATATGTGAGTCTTTGGTCATTCGGGTTTTCTCCCGTGTAAGATTAGAAGTATCATAGCGACGTTTCGATGAAATCACATTCATCATCATCAGGCTTCTCAGAGAAGCACAAAGCTAAAAGCACAAGCCTGATGATGATGAATGTGATTTCATCGAAACGTCGCTATGATACTTCTAATCTTACACGGGAGAAAACCCGAATGACCAAAGACTCACATACATACATACATACATACATACATACATACATACATATACATACATACATACATACATACATACATACATACATACATACATATATATATATATGAATGAAGGACTATGAAGGACACATACCTGAAAAGCATAAACACGGTAGCTGGCATCAAGAAGATTTCGTTGCAGGCAATAAATTTTAAGATGTTTTGTTGATTGGCATTTAGCTTGTCCAACAGATTTCTTAGGAAAGGAAGACTATTTGAGCTTCGTGCCTTTTAAAAAAAAAAGGGAGACAAAAAACCAAATCAGCAGATACCCCTATAAATTACTTGCTCCGGCTTATGCTAATTTACTAATGAAAAATAAAATTATTTTCAACTCTGATATTTATAAACCAGGGAAGGCACTAATTAACCCTCTAAGACAGGGGTCTTCAAACTTGGCCCTTTGATGACTGGTGGACTTCAACTCCCAGAATTCCTCAGCCAGGCACGCGTGCCTGGCTGAGGAATTCTGGGAGTTGAAGTCCACCAGTCATCAAAGGGCCAAGTTTGAAGACCCCTGCCCTAAGATCTAAACCAGCTTCCCAACATGCAGCTCCTTGCAAATCTAAAGAGTTAATTCACTCCGAATCCCACTAAAAAATGTCTCTAAGTATGGAAAACGTATTTCACAGCCCCAAGACGACAAAAATATCCGCTTGCGTGCAACAAGCCTCTCACAACTGCTTTCTCCGCAGTAACATATACCTAGCACAAGTAGTCCACAATTTACGACCCCGGCGCCCCAAATTTCTGTCGCTCAGTGAATTTTGCCCCCTTTAAAGACCCTGTCTCACACACAGTGGCTACGTGAATCACTGCCGTTGTTAAATGAGCAACGCGGTTGTTAAGCGGATCCGGTGTCCCCGCTGACTTTGCTTGTCAGAAGGCTGCAAAAGGAGATCTCGTGACACCGGAGACGCTGGAGGAACAGGAATAAGTCCATGCCAGTTGCCGAGTGGCAGAATTTTGATCACATGACCACCGGGATGATGTTACAAGGGTCGTAAAGGTGAAAAATGATCCTACGTCACTTTTTTTCATTGCCGTTACAACTTCGGTCACTAAAGTGAGCTGTTGTAAGTCAAGGACTGCCTGTCGGTGGCCCCACAGCTGCCTGCTGACTAGTACGCTGGTCCTTGCAGAGTTTCATGGGAAATATTATTTCTCTAATAATTCTCTAATCTTCTAAAGCAGTGGTCCTGTAGCAGTGGTCCTGTAGTGGTCCTGTAGCGGGCAGTGTCCTGCTGGCCACCGGGCCGCGGGACAGGCTGGCCAGTGCACGCGCGTTAGCACACACACACCCTCGCTTGTGCTAGCACGCAGGGTGCAAAAACAGGACGCCACTGCGCCTCAGGGTGCGAAAACAGGCCGCCGCAGTGCGGGGCGCAAAAGCAGGCCGCCGCCACGCTGCAAGGCACAAAAATGGATGCTGCCGTGCCACGGGGTGCAGAAATGGGCCACCGCCACACTGTGGGGCGCATAAAATGGTCCGCCACTGCGCCACAAAAAGGGCTGCCACCATGCTGCAAGGTTCAAAAATGGCCGATGCTGCACAGCGCAGAAATACGGCACTGTGCCATTCAAGGACAGGGGCAGGGGTAGTATCACGCGGGCGCTAGCCCCGCCCCGTTTACAGCACGCGCGTGCTCGTGGCCCCACGCGCACGCCCGCATGTCAAATGCTTCCCCCTCTCTTTTCTTCCGCTCCGCCAACCGACAAAGGTTGGTGACCTTTGTTCTAAAAAGAAGAAAAATGCAGCTTTATGCTCTTCCACAACCTTCTTAACTGCGTAAGAAGAAAATAGGGGGGTTTTTTTCTCAACTTTGGGAACGTTAAAGAAATCCACCCAGCTTGAAACGTTCCCGAGGTTGGGAGAAAAATTGCTCGAAAAGCAGCCCAGCGCTCAAAAGCAGAAAAAAAAACAGACTAGAGGTCAACATGCATACTTACATCAAGAACTTTCTTCGTGTAGGTCACTGCGTGGAGCAACGAGAACAGCAGCACGGGGAAAATGCTCACTGGAGGGAAAGTTAAGGGCGCCACGTTATCATTCAAGACTCGACAAACTTTAAAACTCCTGGAATTGGGGAACGGTAAAACACGGCGACGCGGCGAAGCAACGGATGGAAGCTAACCAAGGAGAGAAGCAACCTAGAACAGTGGTTCTCAACCTTTTTAATGCCGCAACCCCCAACCGGTCGTAAGTCGAGGACTAAACCGCTCGTAGGTCGAGGACTAAACCGCTCGTAAGTCGAGGGCTACCCAACCGGTCGTAAGTCGAGGACTTTCCCTGCCCGGGAGCGCAGCGCATGCGTGGTTCCGCCCCCTGCGCCGGCCGAGGTGTAGCTGGCAAGCGGCAGAGACGGAGCAGGCCGACCACCAGCTGGCCCAGCCCAAGGGAGGTAAGGCACCCGCCGGAAAAGGGGGAAAAAATGGCGGACAAAAAAATGGCGGACAAAAAAAATGGCGGACAGCCTTGCTTGGCGACCTCCATGAAATGGTCGATCGACCCCAAATGGGGTCCCGACCCACAGGTTGAGAACCACTGACCTAGAACTAAGGAGAAACTTCCTGAGTGTTAGAACAATTAACCCGTGGAACTGCTTGCCTCCAGAAGTTGTGGGTGCTGCATCACTGGAGGTTTTTAGGAAGAGACTGGACAGCCATTTGTCTGAAATGGGATAGGGCAGTGGCGGCGAACCTATGGCACGGGTGCCAGAGGTGGCACTCAGAGCCCTCTCTGTGGGCACACCCTAGTCCTAGGCCTTCAGCTGGGTTTTATAAAACCTTTTCGCTTTAGGCGTCCGCCACCATGCGCAAAAAAAAAAAAAGGTTCAGTCAATTTCAACTTCTCGTGGGGAAAAAAAAAAGATCTTGCAAAGTTGGAATTGATTGATTGAACTTTTTAGTCCCACCCAGTCTGCCGTTACCACCGCAGCCACGCCCACCCAATGGGCCACGCCCACCCAATGGGCCACACCCACCCAGCACCCGACGCTGCGTAAGTGGGTTTTGGGTTGCACTTTGGGCACTCGGTCTCTACAAGGTTCGCCGTCACGGGTCTAGGGTTTACCTGCCTGAGCAGGGGGTTGGACTAGATGACTTCCAAGGCCCCTTCCAACTTTATTATTATGATGATACCTCTAAGGCAGCGGTTCTCAACCTGTGGGTCGGGACCCCATTTGGGGTCGATCGACCATTTCACGGGGGTCGCCAAGCGAGGCTGTCCGCCATTTTTTTCCCCTTTTCCGGCGGGTGCCTTACCTCCCTTGGGCTGGGCCAGCTGGTGGTCGGCCTGCTCCGTCTCTGCCGCTTGCCAGCTACGCCTCGGACGGCGCAGGGGGCAGAACCACGCATGCGTGGCGCTCCCGGGCAGGGAAAGTCCTCGACTTACGACCGGTTGGGTAGTCCTCAACTTACGACCGGTTTAGTCCTCGACTTACGACCGGTTTAGTCCTCGACTTACGACCGGTTTAGTCCTCGACTTACGACCGGTTGGGGGTCGCGGCATTAAAAAGGTTGAGAACCACTGCTCTAAGGATCGCCTTGCGGCCCAGCTCAGCCCTGAGACAAATGTGCCAGGCTCCCGCTCTGTTGGCTCCACTGAGGAGCGTAGCGTTACGTGCCCGTTGGAGAAAAGGATACTGGTGACGGGGTAGGAGTTGACGAAGATGAGGGAGTACAAGAGGTAGTGGCAGCTGTCCTCCAACAGGGCTTGAGATAAGAAGGCCCGGCTTAGCTGGAAATGGGGCAGCCGCTGGTGGAGACGCAGGGCACTGGTGAGCGCGTTCGCCAACAAAGCCCGCTGGTAAAAGCTGGCTGCCTCGTGCAACCTGGGAATGATCAACAGAGTAGTTACCACACCAACAAGACGCTTGTGCTCAAGCCATCCTCCCACGAGCCTGGAGTTGCATCACCCCCATCCCAGCGTTTCTGAAAACCTGCCCTGCTCACAGCCAAGGCATTATTAGTGAATTATTATTAATGAACTTTAATGAAGAGAAGGACTTAGGGGGGACACGACAGCGGTGCTCCAGTATCTCAGGGGCTGCCCCAAAGAAGAGGGAGTCAAGCTCTTCTCCAAGGCGCCTGAAGGCAGGACAAGAAGCAACGGATGGAAACTAGTCAAGGAGAGAAGCAACCTGGAACTAAGGAGAAACTTCCTGACAGTTAGAACAATTAACCAGTGGAACAACCTGCCTCCAGAAGCGGTGAATGCTCCAACACTGGAAGTTTTTAAGAAGAGACTGGACGGCCATTTGTCCGAAATGGTATAGGGTCTCCTGCCTGAGCAGGAGGTTAGACTACTAGATGACCTCCAAGATCTATTCTATTCTGTTCTATTCTATTATTAATTCTATTTATTCCATTCCATTCCATATTTTCTATTCTATTCTGTTCTATTCTATTCTATTATTAATTCTATTTATTCCATTCCATTCCATATTTTCTATTCTATTCTATTCTATTCTACATTCTATCGATTCCATTCTATTCTATTCTACATTCTATCAATTCCATTCTCCTATTCTATTCTATTCTATTCTATTCTTAATTCTATTTATTCCATTCCATTCCATATTTTCTATTCTATTCTATTCTATTCTATTCTATTCTATTCTATTCTATTCTATTCTATTCTATTTCTAATTCTATTCTCGGCAACTTTAAGAGATGTGGACCTCCAAGGTCTCTTCCAACTATTATGATGATGATGATGATGATGATGATTATTATTATTAATCGTCACACAGTCAGCCAGATGTTCAGACTGGATTTGGCATTTTTGTCTACCTATCGAGTCCTTCCCAAGGACCTGGGATAGGCAGATGTAGATGTTTGAAGGTATGTTTGAGACTGTTGTATGGGAGGAGTTTGACTCTGTGGCTCCTGAGGACGTGGACAGGATCTTGGGGAGGCTGAATGCAACCACATGTTTACTGGATCCGTGCCCCTCCTGGCTGGTGCTGGCAGCTCGGGGGGGTGCACGAGCCTGGCTCCAGGGAATTGTAAACGCTTCTTTGAGGGAGGGTGCCTTCCCCACGGCCTT